GACGTTCAACTGGGCACGTCGGGCAGTCCTTCCTCCCCTTGTCGGGCCTAGACGCCTGACGGACGGCCCCCTGATTCATCACCATAACTCACACGCTTTCACGGCCACGCCGTCCAAGACGCCGTCCCCCCGCGGGGCCCCGCCCCCCGTGTGTGGAAAAGAAATGAGCCGCATAAAACGAGAAAGATACTGCTACCTCGCACTGTGCGTCATTAGTGCTTAGGTCGGATTGTTGTTGCTTTGGCGCGTCGTGGCCGGCCGTGGCGGTCGGAGTGCGAGAGGGCGCGCTAGCCGCGCTGCGTGTTGCGTTGCGCCCGGCCCCGGCCAACCCAACCCAGCCCGGCTCGGTTCGAGGGGTCGCCGACCTGTTTGACAAATTGCCATTTCCTGCGCAGCGCTGCAGCGGTCCAGTCGCTCTTCTGCGCGGCCCCCGAGGCGGCCCCGCGGCGTCGCGGGAAGCAGGCAAATTCGCTGTCTGCGGTTCCGTCGCTCCGTTCGGCCTTCCGGCCGGGCTGCCTCTTTTTTGCGCGGCCTGCTCATTACTGCGGCCTGCTGGGCTTCTTGCTTGTTGTCGCCGCGGTGCGCGCCGCCGTGGCCGCGCCGCCCGCGCCTCCGTCACGCACGCACGCTCGGGCGCGCTGTCGTTGGCTCCGTCCCGTAGTGCACGCGGATGCGTTTAGGTCTCTTGGCGGCGCGGTGGGTGTTCCTCGGGTGTCCGTCAGGCGACCGACTCTGCAGCCGTAGAACGGACGCCGCAGGCTGCAGGGCACGCTGGGGTGTCGCGACGGGCGTGGCGGCGTGGCCGTGGTAGAGTGCACCAGCTCGGCGAGGGTGGTGACCGGCCGCCCCGCCGGGCTTTCCGCTCTCACCTGTCCGTGCCCCTCGCCCCCGCGTTCAGGTACCGCGGCACTGCCGGCCACAGCGGACGACGGGGACGGGGCAGCCCCGCCGCGCTGGCCGGCCGCCGGGCGGGGATTATAATGAAGTTGCCCTGATGAAAACGGAGCGTAAACGAAGGATGAACGGGGAGGTAAAACGAAGCATAAACGAAGGACGAAAGTAAACGCTTGTTTCGGCGGAGCTTAAACGAAGGATAAGGCTTCGAGACCATCGGAGCATAAACGAAGCTTGAACGAAGCATAAGGCTTCGAGACCATCGGAGCATAAACGAAGCTTGAACGAAGCATAACCGGAGTGGCAATGGGTAAAAGGGAACAGACCGGCGAGGCTACCTCCTGATGATTCTCCGAGCCTGGTGCCTCGTTTGACTCATCCACGCGCGGGAAGCGCCGAAAGTGATGCTTGTAGAAGTTTTGAACCCACGACGCCGCCTCGGTGCACCTCAAAGCTGAAGACGCTGCCAACTGCGCCACGGAGGATGTCTGAGGAGCATGCCTTACACAGCACCTGACTATCTGAGCGAGAGTGTTCTCCGGGCCCACCCCCGGCTGGGGTCACTGGAGGGGGTACGGCTGCAACATGGTTCAGCCTCAGAGCCAACTCATTGCAATTTTCTCTAAGTGTCGCCGGAAGCGTAAACGAGGAGGTATTGGAGAGTTGACGAAGAGGTCAGCCCACGAAGCGTAAACGAAGGAGAGCGCTCCCTTCGTTTAAGCTTCCCCGGTCGAAAGGAAGCATGAACGGAGTGGTATCGGAGCGTAAGTGAAGATGTCAGCCTCGGAGCGGAAACGAAGAAAACGCCACCTTCGTTTAAGCTTGCCCTGACAGGAGGGAAGCTTGAACGGAGTGGTATCGAAGAGGAAACGAAGCGGTCAGGCACGGAGCGTAAACGAAGGAGAAACCACCTCCGTTTAGGCTTCCCCTGCCAGGAAGGAAGCATAAACGAAGAGATTGGAGCGTAAGCGGAGCACTACCTCTTCGTTCATGCTTAGCTCACGCTTCGTTCAAGCTTCCAGGCTCCAAACGTTATCCTTCATTTTCATCAGGGTGATGATGTTCGGGGCGGGAGCGGCGTGAGTCAGGCGCGGCCGGCGGCAGAGCGATTCCGTCTCTCTCGCAGTCGGCCGCTCGTCTCTAGGGGTGCGAGAGAGTCAGTGCGACTGTTCGGAAACGGCCTGCGGGGCACGGCGCCGGCAGGGTGGTGCGCAGCGGGCAGCGCGCGCCGCGACTAAAAATACTTGGGCCGTCGTGGCCGCCGTGCCTTTGCGCCCCACGCCCCAGGAATGCACAGCGGCGTGCAAAACAAGAGCAAGCGGCCGCCGCGCCGCCGGGCCGGGCTGGCACTCTGGCACCGGGTGCCACGCAGTGCCACGCGGACCGGGAGGGAGGGGGCGGGGCTGGAATGAAACGAGCTGAAGCAGATTGAAACGCCTGGTGGGTAGGCCATCTGTCCACTTAGCAACACACGCGAGATCCCACTCTGGGCCCTGCGTGCCTGGCGGCCGCTGAACGGTACTGTGACGGACTATCGTTGCAGAAACCGGCAGAAACCGAGGAAAAACGTGTGCCGGGCGAGGTGCCGCCGATGCCGCAGAGCGAGAGTTCGGCGGCCCCGCCGTGGGGGAAAGATGTGGATTGATTCCGCATTCACACGGCGGCACGCCGGGTGCCGGGTCACCTGACCTGAGACTTATTATGTTCTATTTGGCGGGGCTCCAACCAACGCCGGGGAGAATTTGACGGAATGCGGACCGAGGGGGGGGGGGGTCGTGGGAGGCGCCGACAGGGAAGGAAGGGTCGCCGCGCGGCGATCGGTTTTCGTCGGGGATAAGGGTGTGGAAATAGCGTTCTGGTCCGATCCACCTGCCATCGTGTGTCTGTGTCTCCGGGGTCTCCGACGTCCCCGCCACGCCCCCGGGGCGCCTGGCGCTTGTCTGAGTGCGAGAAGAAGGATGGCAGCTAATCTAGTGGCCAGAGTGGCGCGCCCTGCCCTGCCCCGCCCCCCTCCCCTGCCCCGACGAGCCGATCAGGAAGAATGTTGTCGCCCCGTTCCATTTAGGCCCTCGAGGCAAGGCGGCAGCGAGAAACAAAACATGCCCCATCCTTTGCCCCGCGTGCCTCTCGTCATCTTCTAGGCGGTGTCACGCCGTGTCCGTGGTGAAGTCGTCCCCCCCTCCCTTTTCTCACGGCTGGGTGCGCCAGCGCCCGGACCCTAGGCAACCCTTCGAGCACAAGCACTTGCCATTGTTGCGGAAAATCAGTCGGCGGTATTTGGCAGGGCTTGTGTCGTGTTGACTGCTGTGCTGACGGTGTTGACCGCGCTGACGGGGACCTCGACCAGGATGCCGCCGCGGCGCCCGCTTTCTCGTCGTCGAGGTGCTTGGTGCGCGGTGTCAACGCGGCGGCGGGGCGGGGTGGGGTGGGCGCCGTGGGCCGCAGGACTTGATAAGTTGAGGCGAGGGGCCATGAGGAGAAAGTAATTTCGGCGGGGACATGTTTAGTGGGTGCGCGGAGGCAGCCTGGTCCCGCCTTGCCCCTCGGGATCGGGAGAGGTGGTGTGACATGTTTTGAATTCTCGGAAGCGGAAAAGAAGAAGAAAAATGGTGCCATGTCCACGCGGATGTGATCTCTTGATGCTGGCAGGGAGCAGGACCTTCTCCGTCCCTTTCGGTACCTTATTTTTCCGGGCGAGAGCCGAGCCGAGCCAAGCAAGCCGTCCTCCCGGTCCTGCCGGTGTGGTGGTGTCCATGTGCATCCGCGTACCTTTCCAGAGGGAACCCGTTCTCGTTGCTGGTTTTATTGACCCCGCTGCAGCGATCCCGGAGCGTCCCGCTGGCGTTGCGTCTGCGTCCTGGAGTGTCCAGGAGGACTGCACACAAGGCTGCTGTTTCACCTCGCCCCCCTCATCCTTTTTCCCTCCGTTTTTTCTCCGCTCGTCTGGATGGATGCTGTTCGGCGGCCTTTCTCCGCGTTGTCCTCACGTGTCGCACACGTGGCCGCGGCGCGGCGGGCCGCCGGGACATGTGGCGATCATTCCGGCGATCATGAGCCTCGCGACCGTCTTGGCGCGGCCGCGGAGCTGCGGCTGTCGCGGTTCCGGGCCGAACGAGCTCCGCGTACTCGCGCGGCCCGGTGGTTTCGCCCTCCGCCCCTCCCGCCCCTCCCGCCCCTCGACGCCGAGGGCCTAATTGAGGAAGCAGCGTGCCGCTTGAGGCTCGCTCCTAACAGTGTCCGGAATCGCTCTGATGACCTGATGGGCGACCGACCCCTACTCCGCCCTGGCGTTGCGACTGTCTGCTGCTCTGCCGCTCGCAGGGGGAAGTCCCGTGAGTGACACCGCGTGGCCGCGCGCAGCACACAGTGTAGTCCCTCGTCCTGGAATGCGGCGTGGAGCGCGCTCCCGGAATGCGTGTTGCACAACGTGTTATTTGGCAGGCCGTGTCGCGTGGCCGTTTGGCGGTGCCGTTACTGAGGACGCGCTGGACGCGCAGCTGGACGCGGAGGCTGTCCATTGCCTCGACGCGGCGCTGCTCTGCCACTCCACTGCCCTGGGCGCGCCGCGCTGCCGCCGCTGCGCTCCGAGTGGCGCATCTCAACTGGGAATCTCCTGGCAGGGCGCTAATGGCTTGGGCTGACTCGGTGCAGCGGTTCGTCAGCGGCTTGCTCGCGCCCGTCGTCTGCTGGCTGGCCGATTCCGGAGAGGGCTCTCGTCGCTCCGTCTCGCTCGCGCCCGTGCAGCCCTGCAGGCGCGAGAGGCGTCGTTTGGAATCAGTCTGCCGGAAAAACGTCGCGCTGCGGGCTTGGCGGGCTGGAGTCTGAGCGTGGAGGCGCGCCTATTGTTTCTGTGCAAAGGCGGTGCTTTTTCAATTGCCTTTAATTAGAACGGTAGCGGTGGATGGCAGTGAAAGGGAAAACGTGCTGCCGTCTGCCGTGCAGTTTGGCCGTTCGGGGCTGGGGGGGGGGGGGGGGGGGGCTGCTTGGTTGGTGTGCCTTTTCCGCACGCCTTCTTTACTTCCAATATGCAGCTGCGTTTGTTCTTCGCGCCGGTCATCGCATTCCTCCGCTCTGCCAGTGTCTGACTCCCTCCCTCCTTGTTGCAGGCTTCGGCGGGCGGCTCCAAGATGGCCGGGGTGGTGAAGGGCGTGCAGCAGGTTGTAAGTAGCTGCCCCAACGGCACCACCGGCAGCACGGCCAACAGCAACCAGTGTGACGCTTTTAGCTCGGACCCCGACCCCTTGAACGGCGTCGTGGATAACTTTTCCTTTTCCGCTGAGGTTAACACAAATAACGACCTGCTTGGCCTCCACCCTGCGTCCACCCCGTCCTCGGACGACCTCAGCCTGCAGGACCTCATCGACTCCGAGCTGGCGCTGAGGATATCGTCGGGCAAGGCGGCCAACGACAGCAACCAGGACGGCCTCCTGCTCGACCTGAGCGAGGATGGCGACGAGTCGGAGGAGGTCAACAGCGTGGAGAGGCGGCCCGATTACGTAAACGGCGTCAACGGCGTCAACGGCGTGGTCAACGGGAACCTCGTGTCGGACTTCCTGGACCGGGAGCGCAGCCACACGGACCTGACCGACGACAACGATAACGACAACGCCCACGCCGAGACCGACGGCGACGAGAGCCTGTCGCTGTCCAAGTCGCTGTCCAGCAACGCGGCGCCCCTGTGCAGCGGCGAGGGGGAGGAGCTGGACGACCTGGACATGGCCAGCGAGCTGGGCAGCGACGGCCCCGCCGACAGTGACTTCTCCGCCAACGTCCCCGACGGCCAGGCTGCGCGGCCCGGCCTGGGCGACGCTGTGCTGGAGCAGGCTGAGCAGGACACCGAGGAGGAAGCCGACGAGGCGACGCTCGCCGAGGACATCTCGCTGGCGTCGGACCGCAGCCAGGAGCGCACCGGGTCGCTGCTGGACCTTGACCCCCTGCGGCCCGACAGCCCCCCGGGCTGCGGCCCTGGTGCCGCCCCTGGCTCCGCCGGCGGCGGCAGCGGCAGCGGCGTCGGACTGGTACTCGGCCCCACGGACACCGGGCCGACGGGTACGGCCGGTACGGGTACCGCCGGCACCAGCTCGGAGCAGCAGCCGGGCGAGGACGAGGCGGGCGAAGCGCGGGAGGGGGAAGGACGCTCCACGACTCCCCTCGGCTCCCTCCTCGCCCCCGGGCCTTGTTCGCCCTGCTCGGGCGACGGCCTGTCAGCTGCCGCCACCGCCGCGCCTCCGCCTCACGCGCAGGAGCAGGAGCAACAAGACGCCGAGGAGTCCGACAAGTCCAAGCTCCAGGACGACGACGGCGGCCTGCTGCTGCAGCCCCTGGAGAGCCCCGACCACGTCCCCAGCCCCAGTCCCGACCTGTGTGTTGACGCTAACCGCGACGCCAGTGTGTTGAGCGAGGATAACAGCATGGATAGCAGTGTGTTGAGTGCAGTGCCCTCCGGCCCCGGCCCCGACCCCGCTGGCTTCGAAGAGGGCTTCGAGACCTGGAGCACGGTGGAGGAGGCCGTCAACGACACGGACCTGCTCGCCGGCACGGCCGGCACCAACGGCCAGGTCCAGGACGAGGTAGCGCCTCAGCCCGAGAACAGGGCCAGCCCTGACCTGGACGTGAGTTTGTTTTAACCTTTTTGTTGTTATAGACGACCTAACCTAAACCGGCCGCTGACGTCAAGCTGACATTGACAGCTCAGTGTTTTGGGACTGATGTAGTGAACCGTTTGCTCTGATCGCTTCTTTTTGTGAGATTGTCACGAGCATTCCTTTCCTGTTTGCATGGTTTTGAAAAAGCTGCAACATAAGTGTGGTGTCTAAAGCATGCCAAATCTTCAGTTTCCTTTATTTTACAACTTTGCTGTAAAGATTGGGTTTTACCTTTAAGACATTTTGTTAAATTTTATTGTGATAAGGTAGATATTAGATTAATTTTAATGATAGCAAATGACTTGATGTAATTTTACGTCAATCATTCCAGTCTTCTAATTTTATTTTTGTCTTGCACATGATTACCGAGCAACAGGTGTCTTTGAAAGTGCAAAGTCTTTATTTATCTTCCAAATTTCTATGACATAAATATGACTTCCATATTTCTGATAAATGTCTATCTTGTATTGCCTCTTGTGACAAAATTATAATCATTCTGGTATTTTTTGTTCACAGACTGAATCAGTATCAGAGACCTCTGAAAAGAAAACGGTTTCCAAGAAGAAAAAGACAGATGGAACTGAATCAACCAAGAAGAAAAGCAGGAAGAGCAAGAAATCAGATGAAAAAGAAAACATATCTGTGGTAAGTAATTGAATTGATCTTCTCTTCATGGGTCATTCATGTTTGTTGGGGCATTTGGAAGTGACTCTCAGTCTACCACCTAATACTGATTTCTAAGATGGGTTAATTATACCCATAATAAAATTGCATGGAACAATTGACAGTCACTTGCAATATGCAATTCCCTTCATGTTGAAGATTTCCCATATTTTGGTGTCTTTTGTAGAATTGAGGTGAGTGGTGGAAGTGTTGCTGTTTTTGTTTTGCCTCGTTCGCATGAAGTATAATGCATTTGATTTTTTTATTGTTTTGTATTTTATTTAATTTTACCCTGGTTTCTGCGGTATTTGAGTGTTTTTTTTTGTCTCTCTTTTACATGTGCGTATTTGCTGTGTTATGGGATTGGTGTAGCTTACAAATGGGCATGGATTAAATGGACACAGTGACAATAAATTTGAGGTGGTGAGCACCGTAAATGGTGCCATCATTCCCCACAGCAATGGCTATGCTGATCATTCTGTGGTAGAAGATGACTTGTCAAATGTGTGTGTGAAGGACTTGGTAAGTAAACTGGGGGATTCCATAAACTTTCAAAAACCAGTAGGGCATTTTTAACATTTTCTACCCTCTTAAACCTGAAGTTGGTCCCACTGCACCAGTTATCTCCCTGCTAGAAAATTTGGGTAGCTTTGGTCTTAATGTTAGCAAAGAAGGAAAATTTTGCATGACTGGCTGGGTTATTTTATCTATCAGCATCCAGTGTGGAACATAGACTTTCCATATCTTATCTCTAAGATATGTCCTGCCATACCTGCCTATCCTAATCTAGTATGGTTGGTGGGTGGAACAAATCAATCATATTCTACTCATTTTTTTAAAAATATTTGATCAATGGACATAAATACATTTATTGCCTTCTTCAATGGGAAAACTAAATAGCTATGCAGCCCTGGCTGTGGTACTGATGGGATCCTGGGTAACCTTTAAAGTGCTCCAAAAAATCAAAAAATCCAGTACTTCTGATTGTCAAAGAAGTCAAGTAAGTCATTTTTACCAAAAGGGTTCCTTCCTTGTCTCTGGTTTGTTTTATTAATTAAGTCAAGTTGTGCGGACATGTACTGCTTGCACTTAGATAAGACATAATAGTTTGCTTCTTTGTGGTTGTATCTAAATTCATCTTCCAGTTTTGTATTGTAATACTCTTTGCTAATCTGGTTTTAATTTCTATATTTGTTTGAGAATATGCAGTAAATGCTTCATAATAAACTGCTTTTGAGTCGATATACTTATTCTGTTGTTATTGGTATGTTGTGTAGAAATCTGCTTACGCGAGCCTTACTAAAACTGAGATCTCCAAAGATGTGGTAAAAGATCTTAAGGATATTGATCATGACATCATTTACTGTGGACCTATCAAGAACCTTGTAAGTAAAAGTGCAGTCTTGGTATAACTTTAAAATAACCTTCATTTTAAATAAGCAAGAACCAACAAAACAACAAAAGATACCAATTTATTTCAGCTAAATTTCATTCCCCATTAAAACAAGAGATCACTGTAGTCTCCTGATTGAAAGCTAATTTTCATTAAAGACAGTCATTCACAAAATTTTAATGCTGCTTTTGCCACCCAACTATGTGTTGATTTTGTATTATTAAGTTCTATATATCATTACATTTGAAGAAAAAGATCACATCACAGCATGCTCTTTGCTCTAATCAATTTGTGTTAACCTTTTGTGTTTTGTTTTTGGGAATTCAGAAACAGACATACTGTAGTGAGGCTATAAAAGAGTGTAATGGTACTCGCTCACCTGACACAAAGGAGACAATAGCAACTGGCATCTCCATAAGGGATCTGGTAAGGGGATTGGTATTCAGCACTGGTGGCTATTGAAGCCCGTATTGAATGCTTTTATCAACTAACGATCCCAGCCATTACATTTTCATGTTAAGTCTTCAATTTTATATGATCAAGTGCAAGCATTTAATGCCATGCCTTGAAATTAACACTACTTTGCTTTTAAGCCTTAATTAACTGTTGAATATTGCACTCTTAAATTTTTATTTGTTTTTTTTTTTTTTTTTTTTTAATTTGCATACGCACTTCAAACCTTGCATGATATTTGTTGTAGTTTTGTAGTGTTGCTTGCAATCACAATTTTCTATGGACATCTATGTAACTGTGCAACCTTCCTTGTCTAACTCTTGATAAACCAATCACAGCTAAAACTAACTCTAATGCTTTTGCTCCCATGTGCATGCTAACAGAGGCGCAGTTTTGGAGATTTGAGGAATTGTGAGAATTCTGAAAATGGAGTTGAATTTACGCCAGAGGAAGATATTAGCAGTGAAGGGGTAAGTTAAGAGAATTCTTATAGTGTGTTTATTTCATAGTTCTTAAAGTATGCTTGCGACCCTCACTACACTACGATCAACACCAGCACTTCAGCACTCCGTCTACACTCCTTCAGGTTGTACAAGTCTTTCACCATAAGATATTCTTCCCGTCTTTATCAATTTTATTTTCTTTAGACTTTTTTTTTTAAATTTGCATGCGCATGTTTACTAAAATTATTAGTTTTACAAAGACTTGTTTTCTGAGAAATTGAGCATGACTGAGCCTATAATGCATGTTAAATATAATGTGAACTACACTACCTTTTGGTGTGCATCCTTTATTGAAAGTGGAACTATCCTTAACTCCGCATGTGTTATGATCTGTTGGTCCTTCAGTTCAAACCTCTTTTGAAAAGTGGTCTCGCACGCACCCTCCTTCATTGCAGTATTCCACTGATGTACTATTTTAAAGCACATGCACTAAATCACTATCAAAAGTATTTGAAATATCATAGTTTAACTTGTAAGTTCCAAAAGAAAGGAATCATTGAAATAATTTTCCTTTTAACACTTCACTGTTGGGCTCTAAAAGATCAAAATCAATTCAGCCAGAAGTGTAATTGTTAAAAAAAAAATCATTGGAATTGCTTTTTAGAAGTTTGTATTCTGTTGCATATTCACTCACAATTGTCAGTTTTATATTCTCCTTATTGATGTATCTTGGCAGTTTTTCCCTTTTTAAGCATGACTGTTTTTTTCTTGCTGTGCTTATATGTATCTTGGTGTGCCATTTTCTTTTATGTCGTGTTATACACACATGCAGAAAGCGCGCTCTCTTGGTGATTTGCGACGTCTTTCAAGAGATCTATATCGACCAGATATTAACAATACATCATGCTCACGGAAACCCATCCACACAGGTGTCTCTGTTAAGGCATTGGTAAGTTTCTTTTCACCTCAAATTTTCAATGTGTATGTATTTCTCACTGTCATTGTGCATCTGAACATCTGTCATGAAATTCGTAATATTTATTCTTTGGTCTATGTCTATATTTTATTTTTACTTACTATTTGTGGATATTGTTAATTTCTTTGAAAGGGATTTCTTATGCAAGTCTTGTCAGTTGAAGTATTTTTTGTTAAGTTGCTTGGTTCTAGTTTTCTGTACAAGTCTGATACTAACTAACTGGCATGGTCTTCAATTATGACAAAAACCTAACTTGGCATGTGGCTTGCTTTATGCATGCAGCGAGCGAGCTATTGCAGTCTCATTAACCTCAACGAACCACCAGTGTCTGACAGTAGACAAAGTTTTTTCAACTCTGAAATTTTGCTGTCTCCGGTTTTGGTAAGTTTAAAGATTTTTAATGATGAAGTAACTCCTGTAGCTCCAAATTACCGGTAAGTTCTACAGTATTTCTCTTGCAACTCTGTGCTTGGTGTTAGTACTGTACTTAAGAGTCTTTTCTTCCATAATTTTTTTAAATTAAAGCATCTTTTTGTTATTTTTATGAAGAAGTTTTGCAAGGTTTTGCAACTTTTCAGAGTAGTTTAGAAACTCTGTATTACACCAAGTCATTAACTCTTTATTTCTGAATCAGCTTAATTTTTAATCGATGGCTAATTGTGTGTTTCAGAAATCAAGCTTCAGCAAATTTGACCAGCTGAGCAAAAAGACAGTGCTTCATGTACGATCAGTGGATGCTTCTAAGGTCCAGAAACAATTTAATGAGGTATATTACTTACTCTGCTGTTAACTGGTAATTTTATAGAGCCCATAGTGTTACTGAAATACATTTTATTCCGGTTTTAGGCATCCAGCACATCTCCTGAAGCACAAACCAATTGCAAGGCTTGTGGGAAGCAAGTGTTTGTAATGGAACAGATCAAAGCAGAGAAATCTGTGTGGCACAAAAATTGTTTCCGTTGCAAAGAATGCAGTAAGCAATTAACGTAAGGGATATTTCTCATGACGTTCTTCACATTTATTGTTTTTAGTTCAGTCAACACCCACCTCAAACTGCTTTGATCTTTTTCTCTAGTGTTGACATCTACAGTAGCAACGAAGGCGATATTTACTGCAAACCTCATTTCCGTGAGCTCTTCAAGCCAAAGGCTGTTGTGGAAGATAGTCCTGAGCCAAGTAAGTAGCCATTATGTATAAGACTTAAAAAAAAAATATAGGTTTCTATCTAGGTTGATTAGAAATGAACTATTATATGCATGAGCCACAGTGTTCTTCAAAAGAATACAAGTCATCACTATTATGCATTAGTGGAAATTTTGTAGTCCTACAAATTAAATAAATGAACTTGGTGTCGACATCTCACTTGTGTGGTTGTCTAGTTCGACGCAGAAAACCTGAGCTTATCATCCGGGAAAATCAACCTGTGGAACTGCCGCCAGATGTTGTCAGAGGTAGATTGGCTTGTGTGTGCACAATTAATTGCAACTTCAACTTGGGCACAGCTTGCAGCCGTTTTAAATCTTCCACATGTTACATGTGTGGACTGAAATTTGTGTGCACTTCAGTTTTCGACTTGTAATTAACTCCCACATTTCAGAGCATATTCCTCACTTTGTAATCTGCAAAAAATTGTTTCTTGTCTTAACATTTCACGCCATCTCCCTGAATCCGTTGCAGATAATAACTTAATAAATATGCATGAGCTAGTCCTTCAGCTTTCTTTTGGTCTGCACTTTCCATGCAAGTTTCCGAATAAAGCTAGAGTGCAAACTCTAACAGTCTTTTAGTCTCTATTCTCTGTTTTTATTCTTAAATATTCGTTGTTGCTTAATCTCTAACTCTTTGAAAATACTGCAGTGTTCTGTTTTTATAAAAGATTTCATATGTGTAAATTAATACGTCCACATCCATTGTTTACCTGTCTCTAAGTCCATCTTTTTGTTTGCAGCATCTGATAAGCCTGATCTCGGCCTAGAAGAACTATCAAGCTTGAATGTCAAGTCTCGCTTCCAAGTGTTTGAGAAAACAGACGATAGGTCTTTGGAAGTGGAGAAATCTCCAAGCAATGTAAATGTCAAGCGTTCGCCTAGCATATTGAGCAAGCTGGCCAAGTAAGGAAATTTTTAACTCATCTTGGTTTGCACTTCTTGTGTAAAGCATGTTTTTAGTGATTGTTATTTTTAATAAATGTTGTACTTTAGATTTCAGGCTAAAGGTATGGATATTGGAGTGACAGATGAGTCCCTAAATGGTATTCCTTATGAAGAGAGCTCGACTTCAAGTGAAGAGGAGGAGGATGATGGTGAGGGTGGTGAGTGTGTGCTTTTGCTTTTAACTTGAAATAATTTAGGGCTTCCCATGACGTACCAGTATTACGATTGTGCAGTATTGACAAACTCAACCTCCTTGTCATTTTAACTTGCCATTTGTTCACTGCATTCTATCTCTCACTAATCATTAATTAACTTTGTGTTTTTATTTGAAGGTCTAACCATAATTTTATGTTTTCTTGTTAATTGTTTTGTAATGATTATGAGCACCAACAGTAATTGGGTTCAGGATGCACTTACTCACTGTAAAAGTGAAGAAACTGAAAATATCTTTTCTTTGCCCACTTCAGAGGAGGAAGATGGAGACATTGTCAAGTCCAGACGAGCTACAAGGGAGAGGCCCATGAGCTTCAGTAAAATGGAGGATGTTAAAAGCCGTTGGGAAACTGGCTCTACTGCAAAGAAAGAGGAACGAAGGGAGGAACGCAGACAAGAAATTCAGACCATCAGATCTCGTTTGTTTATGGTAAGTTGTTCAGTTGGGTGGTCCACATTGTTGCCATGTTTCCATGGTTATGACTATACAATAATTCAGTAATGTCTGAAACTCTAAATTTATTGTAATGTGGCGTCTGCTTATCCGATGCCTTTTCCCTGTGTTTCGGAACTGTGCTTATGCTAATTGTGAAAATCAGGTTATTACTTTCAACTCTGAAATGTGTTATTTAATTTAAAGTGTCTGAAAAAAAAAATTTTGTGCAGGGAAAACAAGGAAAGATGAAGGAGATGTATGAACAAGCTGTGAAGGAAAGTGAACAGCCTGCCGCCCGAAGAGGAGCCGAAGTGCGCTCAGAAAAGGCTAAATCCATCAAGGAGAAGTTTGAGCGTGGAGAAACCTTGGTCTCTGATGGGGAAGAAGGGGAAGATGGTGATAGAAAGATCAAGGATGAAGACCTCGGTGTGTTTGAAGCTGGTAAGTTGACACAATGTCCCTTTTGATATCGGTACTTTCTACGTTTTTGAATGGTATTTAATTCCAAAAACTTGTTGTAGGTATTTCGAAAAAATCCAGGTCTCATTTCATGGAACTGGATGCATCCGCTGCCAAAACAGCGCAGCAAACCACTCCCTCTCGACCTGCTGCCAAAGATGGAAATAAGAAGAGAGAGGTATGAACAGGATCCACCATCTACATCTTTACAAGTCTTGGGGGTTTAGAAACTCAATTTGCATTTTGGAAACAATATTTCATTGTTTATTTCTCGCCCAGGTTCTGACAAACCAAAGTTCTAGTGAAGTTGTTAAGGCTTCAGATAAAATTGAAGATGTACAGGTTGAAACTGCTGATATATCTTCCAAATTTAAGTTCTTTGAAACATACAAAGCACCAGAAAAACAGAAAAAGGCTTTCCGAATCACACCACCACGAGAGGGCCAAGTGAAGGTCAATTACTGTTGTGTGTGTGTTTTTTTGTTGTGGTGTCTTTTCTGTGGCTACCTCTCTCGAGTGTTTTACATTTTCCCTTTGCACTTGACATTTCACTACTGACCCTCAAATAATTGCTTCATTACCTGTCTATATGGCTAATTTAAACAGCAGTGGTGTTGCTTTCCTGTAATTCTCCTGATGCGTACCAAATTTGTGATCAATTTTGGATATACTGTACTTTGATGTTTGTGTGTGTCATTGCACTCCTTGCTTTGGTGACCCTAAAATCTTTCCATTCAATGCTATTATACTTGCAAACATGGTTTTAAAGCTTTGCTTTGTTCTTAATTTGATTTCCCAGTTCTGAATTTTTGTGTTTTCTTGTTTAGACCGAGTCCCCCGAACGAGAAGTGTACCGTGATCCAGATGTGGTTCGTGCTGATGATTCAATTGAGGGAGATGAACTCCAGCACAGTATGACAACATCAAAGATGCTTTCTATCTTCCGTCAAATGGAAGAAAAAGCACAAAGAGACGATGTTCCTGATGGTGGGTTATAATTTCTTCTGTACACTATTACTAATTTATCACAGAGTTAAAACTTTTCACATCTGTTGTGTTTTTACTTCTTTGTAGGTCCTAAGCCTCTTAAGTGCTTTACTCCACCTCCAGACTACAAACCAGAGTCTGACAGTTCTGAAGATGACCGTTCGGATGAAGATGATGACGAAGATGATGAGGAAGGAGACGAGGATGAGAGTGATGGAGTTATTCGCTCTTCAGTGAAGGCAGAGGACGAATTCCTTCAAGCTGTAAGTCATTTGAACTTAGAGGCTGCCTGCGCAAATAATTTTGTTTCTTACATCTTAATTTTGTAACCCTAGGCCAAGGCAGCTGCTAAAGCAAAGACTTTACGTGCCAAATTTGAACATTGGGAAGAACAAGAAAACAATATCAATTCTGGAGGTGGAAATATCAACCCAACTCTCCTGGAATCTGAACATGAAAGTATTGAGTCAACTAAGTCCCTCCGGGCCCGTTTCGAGTCCTTGCGAAACGAAGCAGAAGCACCAAAAGAAAAACCAAGACCAAAAGTGAACAGATTTGTGGTGAGTGGATTTGTCGTCACATAGCTCCTTGATGTGCAAGCTTACAAACAATTGTTGCTCCTTAGTGTTTATACTGTAGACATTGCTTTGCTCTCTACTCACCATTTTGATCCAGTGTGTGTGTTTTTTATTTCTTGATGATTTTTGTTTGGTTTTGTTGCATTTTGTTTTGAAAAGTTTTGCCAACTATCCATTTTGTTCAGTTCTGTCAAAATCCTACTTTAATCTGCTAACAAGTTCTGAATTCATTTGGTTGGACAGGCGAGGTCCCCTTAGATTTGTGACAGCATGTCTGAAAGTGTTTTGTTTTGATTTGTTTTGTTCTGCCTTAAGAAACTTATTACATTCAATTTTAACTGCATGATTTTGAGTTGATTTGAAGATTGTTTCCAGCATGAATTTTTATTTTCTTGACTCAGTTGTTTCTTAGGTAAGTGCATGACATTCTAATTGTTTTTAAATTTGTTCTCATTTTAACAATTACAATATTGCTGTGTCTTCAGCATAAAATTCTGTCTTAAGGACTAAAAGTGTTTCCTGTCTAAAACCATTGTGCTTTTGTGTGTTACAGTGAATGGAGCTGAATTTTATTCATCAGAAGTATATTTATTGTGATGTCAGACAAAATAAAGAAGATCTGAATCTTCATTCATCTGTCTGCATGAATATCTTAGAAGATTATTTTTGTTTCAATGATTTATTAATGTTGATAATCCTTTAATTTTAGCAAATGTTTTTGTTTTGTCACTTGTGTCCTGTAATTATTTCTGTACTTTTAACTTCTTGAAAACTTGTATACAGTTGACATGTTATTTTAGCCCAGTACCTGCTGGTTACTGTGCACATGGTGGATTTCATTTTATTGATTATTAGCAACTGTAGAAGATCAGAGGAGCTTTATTTTAAATCAATGTGTCAAAGACTCAATCTATTATTGTGGTAAGAAATTCTTATATTTATGGATATGGACTGGATTTTTTTCTCTACATGTATCTGTAACTGTAAGATTAACTCCGTAATATGCAGTTCGTGTTATCTCATGTCATTCTGTTATTAACTGGGCCTACATGCTATTTCAATTACATATTCACTGCGGAAATACCCTAGTGCAATTGGGTCTAGCAATAGATTGAGTGCTCACTGTAGAAATTTAGCTCTTGTAAAGAGTGGAAAGGCCCTAAAAGTAAAATGTGTACTTGTAACACAGTATTAGATATCTGAATGTCACTCCATGAAGAGAGAAACCTTTGACACCTCTGTACCATTGACTGTGGGATAGCAAGGATTAGTGCCAATTCGCAGGCTTTTCAAGTTTGTCACGTTCATGCCCATCGCTAAAAGCATGCTATCCCTAGTTATCTACACCATAGTACTTCATTTTGCTTCGATAAAAATCGGAACTGATGTAAATTACTTCTTGTAGATGTGGGTTTTCCACACTTCGTCTAGAGACAATGATTTTGTGTTACATATGTTTCAGCCTAACTTCTTCATGCTACTGTTACATGTACTGCTTAAACAATGTGATTTTGTTATTGTGCTACTGTTTGTGATGATTGTACTTTCCTTACACTTCTTAATCAAAAGAAGGATGAATTGATTTGTCATATTTCCCATAGTATTAAATTGGTTATAATTTGTGGCAGAATTCGTTTTTAATATTTGCAAGCTCTTGCAACCTCATATGTCAAGTTCAAAATACTAGTACCAGCACTACTACTCAACTGAATAAAATTTACAGCTCACATTTCACCTTGGGTCAAAAAAGTGTAGCCTTCTCTTTTCCCACATACTATTATAAAACTAAGGAGCAACAATCCTGCATAAAATATTTTTCAGAATTAAAACCTTTATGTTTCTAGTGCTGAATCATATTTTTATTTTTTTCTTGCAGGAAATCCAAACATCATGTGCTGAATTCTGTGACTCCTGTGAGAAGAAGGTCTACCCTCTTGAGAAAGTAGAAACTGGCGGCAAACTATTCCACAAGGGATGTTTCCGTTGTATGCAGTGTAGCTGTATTTTGAGGTACTATTGTTTTTCTGCCTCTTGTTTTCGTGACATAAATATATGTTTCATTTTGTTTATTCCTCTCATCTTACTGTTTCAGAATGGAGAGCTACACGTTGAACAATGGGAAATTGTATTGTATTCCACACTTCAAGCAGTTATTTATTTCTAAAGGAAATTATGATGAGGGCTTTGGTCTGGATCAACACAAGCGCAAGTGGAACAGCACAATGAAAGAGAATGGAGACATCTTACTTAGCGGGATTGATGCAAACGGCAACAACCATTGATTGAGCTACCACAACAGCACTACTTGGTGATCTCACTCATGAAGATAAGTGCCATTTGGTGGAATGAAGGATGAACAGTACCTCTGATACTTCCATTTTGTGTGAATATTTTAATTTAAATTTTATCCATGAATTGAGAGTTACAAACTCTTCTTTTTTTTCAATGACAAAATCCACCTTTTCTTGCCTGTTGACAATAGTGCTTTAGATGTTATCAAATCACAAGTTCTTTTATGGGTCCAATTCTTGGGTTATGAATTTGGTAACCTATTATATTTTGGGTGGACGAGTTTCATTTGTAATCTTCCACAAACACTTGTTGTCATCGGTGTTTATGGATCCTATGTTCTTTCTTGTTTAGTATCGGGCATGCAGCAATAGCATTTGTAGAATGTTTGTTAATGTGTCCCAGGGTCACCTTACTTTTTCTGCTTCTTTACAAGAGACTGGAAAAAGGCATTTTGTGTATAAATTTTATCTGCATGTCCTCAACTGTTGTTTCTCAATTTGCTATCATTTGCTGTGATGTCTTAACCGTTGTAAAAGTACTGAGGAATCTGTGTGGTGAAGTATGTTGCTCTTTTAAATAATTTAAGTTTTAAAATACAAAGGATTTATGTGACCAACCAACTTGGTTCCTCTTATGATTATTGTGCCTATTGGGTCTGAAATCAAAATTTGCAAATTCTGTGATCAAATTTTATTTCAGTTTTAGTTTTGAAATTATTGTACATTTCATATACTTTGTCAAATATGTAAAGTTTGTCAAAAAATGTACATCACTGTAGACCTGCTTTTATGTTGTTTTTGTTTTCTATGAAGTTGTAGATAGATTTGTATATTTTATCGACATTTTGAATGTACCTTTTGAATGTATACCTGTACTCCAAAAATGATTCTCATCTTATCTGATATTTTTTCCTGCAATAAATCATGATCCTTATTTAATCTTAATGAATGCACGTCTCTTAATCTCCCATTCTATTCATTACAGTACCTTGCACATTACTATGAGCATTCTCCCAAAGATTAAACAAGCCGACCGAGATGACGCTTTCATGCAGGGCAGCGAATCTTACATGACATCTGAGAATTGAGTCGAATTGAGTTCATCAAGCCAAAATGGGCATGTAGCAGAACGCCAGGAAAGTGGGCAGTACATTTATTTCCCCGGGGGGGAATGCCACTTGCAACCGGAGAAAGATCGAGGGGTCCTGAGGGCTGAAAGATTACGAGCAGCGCTTTCACTCGCGCTCTCCTTCTCTCGCCTCTTTCAGTGTGGGAGAGAGAGAGAGAGAGAGAGAGAGAGTGGGAAGAATCACAGTGCGGAATCGTCCTGCTGGAGAGCTCGCTATGCACAGAAGAAGAGAAGACGGCTCTTGTCTAATGCCCAGAAAGTCTTGCCCCGCTTGTGGCTCGCTCTTTGGACTGCTCCATGCTAGAGGTGACCAAGGCCCCCTCCCCCTCCGCCCCCGTGTCCTTTGGCACGGTAATTTGATGCGGTGCCGCGCAAAGTCCCGGGCCACAACAGCAAACACAAACAACCCCCTTCCGCCTCCCCCCCTCCCCCTCGGCGTGGCGCGGTGGCGCGGCGCGCTGCAGTGCGGACCACCGGATGGAGTTGCGCCCTTATCGCTTTCCTCCTACGGCCCCTGTCTGCCTCTCTCTCACTCTCTCACTCGCAGCCCAGCTCCCTGTACCCATCCCTCTCGCTCGCTCGCCTCCCAGCAGCCTTTTCTCTTCCCTCGCCGGCCTAGCTGAGGGTCGTCCCATCGGAGTTTTGCGTCCGTGAATCAATTTATACGGTGTGCTGAGCTGTCCAGTGTCCACACAGTGTCACCCCGCCGGTCCGCCCCGCCGACCAGGCCCTCGGGGATGGCGGGGCGGGGGGCTCGAGTTTCTCAGATGAGGAGGGTGCTGCTGTGCTGCTGCTACGGAGCGATCGCCGAGGGTCGTTTCGTCGCTGTCTCTCTCGCGCGACCACGGCGCCTCTATGAGTGCGACAGAGACAGAGCGACGAAACGCCTCTCCGGAGCCTGCTGCTGCCGTGGCTGCCGTGCCACTGTTGCTGGCCTGACCGCCCCCTGACTGCCCCTGGGGCGCCAACCTGCCGGGGCCAAACAAGGGCGACACCCTGCAGGCTGATTCCGAGTGGAGCGTCCCGCCGGCCTGCCTCTCTCGCACCGAAGCAGCACGCCCTCTCAGTTGGAGAGAGAAGGAGAGACCTCCCGCTCGGAATGAGGCTGCCACTGCCGCCACCCTGGCCTGCCCCTATCTCCGCATGCACGACGCGGGACGAGCAGGCAAGAGCCTGAGGTACACAACGTCGCGGCAGTGCGGCGCGGCGGCAGCTCGTTACGTGACGGGGAGGGAGAGAGAGAGAGTCTCCGTCTCCGCCCTGCTGCGCCACCACCAGGTGTTTTTGTTGGCCTTGTTTACGTTTTCCAGGCAGTGCCGAGGCGCCAGGCTGCGCCAGGCCAGGCTAGGCCCACCGCAAGCCAAAGCCCTGCAGCCGGGACGCAATTTTCGCGCCGCGCGAATGCAAAGTGCAAAGTGGCTCGCCATGGACCGCGCGGCGCTACGCGACGCCAAGTCGTCACGGCCGGCGGCGGGATGAAGAGCAGACGGCTCGTTCCGAACAGCGTTCGGTCGCTCTGTCTCTCTCACACCCCTACGGCGCGCCCCACGAGTGCGAGAGAGACAGAGCGAGGAGACCCTTTCCGGAGTTAGCGAGTTTAGCCTCCAGCAGCAGCACCAGCAGAGCAGCGCCATCTAGCGGGTCAGGAAATGGAAAGTCCGCGCGGCCCAGCCGGGACCAGCCGGGCCGTGGCGAGCCGGGCATAACATCGCGCGACACATTCCGGCCCGTTGATGACTTCCGGTCATTCTGTCGAGAAAGGTGTTTTGGTGTTTTCCAGCCGCGCGGCCATCAACCCGCACCCTCTGATGGCTGCCAGCCCCGCCAGCCCCGCCTCTCGCAGTGAAAAGGAGAATGAGTCCGTTCATAGCGCGGGTCCGTTTGGCGCGGCCCCGGGGGACACTTCCCGTTTTGCCGCCAGAGAGGGGTCAAATCAACGCGCCGCCGCGCCCCGCCACGCCATGGGTGGCTGGGCAGCGCAGCCAGCAGCCCCGGGGCCAAAGCGGCGCAAACGAACACCGAACGCAGTGTGCCAGTCCGCTCCGCGCGCCGCTCCGCACTCGCTGGATGGAAGCGCCCCGAATCGCTGCGGAGGGAGGGAGGACAACACATTCTTTCTGTCGGCAAACGGAACGGAGAAAATCTATTTTCCAACATTTTTCTTTCGTGTTCGCGGGCCGACGGACGCCGTGAAGCTGCGCAGTCCCGCCGACAGGGCTGCACCGGCACTGCCTACCTGCCAGGCGTTATGGCCCCTTGCGGAGGCAGGGTAGGCAGTCCCGGTGCAGCCCTGTCGGCGGGACTGCACAGCTACATTACCATTCCCATTACGGGCTAGACCACCATTGATACGGAATCCTACTCAGCGTCTGAGGGTCATACCACCATGAAATAGAGAAACAACTCGTTGCCTCTCGGCTGGGAAAGACTCCACTCCCTCAGCGACTGCCCTGAAAAAAAAAAAAAAAAAAAACAGAACAAACAGGAAAACGGCAGGGAGGAGGACCAAGAGGGGAACGCCGTGGTTGTTTCCGAACGGAAGTACGACAGTGCATACGGCGGGGAAGCTGCTGCGAACATCGGGTGGATCTCACCTCTGCAATTACTCATTTCGCCCTCGCCCCGCCACGCCCTGCCACGCCCCGCCCCACACGCCACGCCACGCCGCCAGGGGGCGAGAGCAAGCACACGGTGTACGGTGTGGTGCGGTTTGTTGTATTGCCGGGGATGCTGGCTGGCTTGCTGGAAGCGGCGCGCAGTCGCATCATTTGTATCGTGTTATTTCAGTAAATTATGTAGCTGGGTGCCGGCACGGCCTGCTGTTAGAGAGAGAGAGAGAGAGAGAGAGAGAGAGAGGGGGGGGGGGGGAGGAGGATGAAGGGAGCGCACACATGGACTCCCCCTCCCCCTTATTTCGGTCCGGTCACCTGCTCGCATGCACGACTACACTCTGCAACTCCAGCAGCAAGCCCTCGGCCCAGCCTATGCACGTGCACGCGTGCAATGGACACACTCACACACCCTCACTCACACACATAGACACACCACTCGACCGTTTGCCCGGCCGCGATGGCTGGCGACACTGTGCAAACAATTTGGCGGACCTCCTTTAATTCGGCCCAAACGCGCTTCAGGCTCGACGAAACCATGTTTTTTTGTTGTCTTTTTTTCTCTCGACCCGCGGCCACGCTTCGATGACGTGCCCCTCGCCAATCTGGCATGACACGCCCCTCTGCTTACCGGCGGCATGTCCGGCCTGCACAGAGCACGCCCCGCTGGGCCGCCCCGCCCCGCCCCGCCCCGCCCCACTCCGCGCCACGTGACAATAAAAGAAGCTTTGAAGCCGATCGGTCTCGTGGAACGCACCGCAACGGAACATATTTAGAGAGGCCGCGGCAGTGCCACACTTCTGCCAATAAACCGCAAGCCTTTTTTCCCCACCTCACCGAGTTTTTAATTTTATCCCCCTTTTTTTTTGGTACAGAAAGAGGACAGTCGGAGCAAACAGCGATATTACTTCAACCGAGTCAAACCGAACGCAAATAGACCGTCGCCAAACGGCCATCTGGAAAGAAACAAATGTCTGTCGAAAGGGGGGGGCAGGAAAGAGGAAATAACCATCACCACGGTAAATCCGAGTGCGAAAACGCGAAAACCGATGCGAGACTTTGGGCCGGTAGCGCTGCACCCCATTCCCCGGCAGGTGGTTCCTGGTTCGGACGATCTTTAGTGCTGCTAGACACAGGGGATTGGGCGAAACGAAGCGTGTGGCCCGAGTTGGCCGTCGGTCGGGGGAAAGGAGGGGGGGGGGGCGACCGCAGAGTGCAGGACGCTGCTCGCAGGCATTCCCGGGGACCATTTGCCTGGGACTGGGGGCTGCCGGGGCGGCCGTGGCCTCTCGGGGTGTCACGGCGAAAGAAGTCCTGCCGGGGTCGGCCCGCCGGGAAGGGTCGGGCCACCGCCACCGCTACACCTGTATCCGAGACCCTCGACACCTCGCGAGGACCAACTTGCGCTTATTGTGTCGCTGGTGGCGGAGCGCGGAGCGGCGGCGCACGGTCGGGGGAATCTCGAGGCAACTACAAGCACGGCGGGTGGATGCCGAGCCGTGCTCCGTCGCTCCGTCTCCCTCGCACCCCTTCACCAGACGCCCCTTGAGTGCGAGAGAGACGGAGCGGCGAAAGCAGCGTCCGGAGTCGGCCTGCGAGCACAAAGCCGCCAGCCGGTTCACTCACCTGATTAGGTCGGCCGCGGTGGAGGCGAGGCGGTGCGACCGCAGCGCCACCGCCATCCTTGACCGGAGCGCGGCGGCAACGGCAACTAGGGGGCCGCCCTGCGAGAGGAACCCTGCGCGCTCTAAAACGGAAACGGAACACAAACGAAAAGGCGGACAAGCGGCAAAGTCGGCGACAAGTCGCGCACCGGCCGCGTGCAGTGTGCCAGCCGCGTCAATAAGGGTGATCGATGGCGGCGCCGGGATTCGGATTTACCGCGTCGAGTTGGGGGGGGGGGCGTTAGTTATGGCGGTAAGTTGCGGGCCTTATTGGCCACAAACACAGCGCGGCCCGGGACCAATAACGCACCGGTAAGCAAAGTCGGCAGGGATTGAGTTATGTCGACGGAGGCGAATGCGGAGCGGAACGGACAACGGGTACACTGCAGAGGCGAGGATTGATCTGCGGCAGGCTCGGACTGGCCCCCAAAAAGGCCCCAGCGGATAAGACCGCAAAAGGCCCCCGATCATCATCATGTTTTCACCCTTCATGACCAACTTTGTGAGGCTACCACTCCCAAACTAGTTGCGGTCAATAGCCTT